TATTACAGCAAGAAAAATAATACTACAAACAAATAAAATTGGTTAATAAAATTGAAAGATATATCAATATAAAAAAAATAAAAAAAGTAAATTCATCAAAACGAACTATGATGGATAGTTATTTTAGTATTACTGTATTTGTATCATTTGTGTCCAATGAAATTGCTTTTCTCCATAAACGCACACCCTCCATAAATGCACGCTGTCCCTTGGTCCCAAGGGGGATGCATTTATGGAGGTCTGACTGTATAAAAAATTCCCTGGTTGATATTTATGTAGATCAGATCGACAAACCGCAGTTCAACCACGGTTATTATTATCCTCAACCGGCTAACATCACCCATGTGGGTATGACTTATAAAAAAATTTATTATTATTTATTATACCCAAAATAATAATTAATTGCTGTGACGCAACTAAGCGAATTAACTCAGAAAAATTTAACTAGCTGATTTGTAAAAATTACCTCTGTGAGGAGCTTTTCAACCACATACTCAATCAGAATCAAAGTGAGGATTTCACTTCAACCGCTATACAAACTTCCCCAAGCATGTCATTCCGCGAGAAAGTGTAAAGTGATGATCCTCAACAGCAAGTTGTTTGACTGTTCCTCAAAATGTTGGAGTGAACTTTCCAACAACTCGCGATATCACAAAGGTGACTGTGCAAAAAGAAATCACTTAATTTGATATCAATGAAAGTTTTGCATCAAGGCAACAATTTCCCTTTGGATAATGCTCTCGCTCTTACCGTGCACAAGACCCAAGGATTGACATTACCCCACGCAGCTGGAAAATATGTTCACGCCTAGTCAATTATATGTAGCTATGAGCAGAGTGCCTTCTTGGAATTCGCTTGATATCTTGGATTCGGGCTTTTCTTGTATAAAAACCGATCAATCCGTGATTCAAGAATACGCAAGATTGAAAGCGTGAACCAGAGAGATCTTGGCTAAATTAAAAAGTAGCAAAAGCAATTAATTAATGTTTTATTAACATATATGAGAATCTCGAATTTAAATATTATTAATAATAAAAGGCACTCTCGTTATAATGACACTCTCCGTGCAAGCAAAAAACGTCAGTATAACGAGATAGTCATTATAACGGGAGTTCATATAAATGTCATGCAAGAATCATTATCATGTGATTTTATAATATAATTTTTATCTTTATTAATTATTTTGAACATAAAAATCCAACTAATTTGTTTAGACTCTCCAAGATTCCGATTTTTAATTCTTATAATCCTCCCACTGTAAACCTTGGTTCTTGTTCTTGTTGTATATAAGTAAGAAAGTTTACACAGCTTTTCAATGAATCATTAGGATTAATATGGATAATATTTTCCTCCTCTTCTTTCTCTTCTTTTTTATTTATAATTTCTTCTAATCCAGGTAGGTATTGCTTCAATTTCGCAAGTGTTATCACAAATAATATAATCTTAGTTGTTATTGATTCTTTATAATATTCGTTTATTATATTTTGCAACTCTAATTCAATATTATCCTCACTATTTTCATAATCAAT